GGGGGGGGGGGGGGGGGGGGGAGGTGTGTGGAACCTTAAGAGTTGCGGTCCGGTAAGATAGAGATGTATCTATTGTGTGTATGTATATTTATATATATATAGTTTAGGTTTGTTTTGAGCCCGGCACACGAGACGGTCGAGGATCGCCCGTTGGACCCTCGGACACCGTCGCGTCGCCGCGTTATCGGCTCTTGTACTATCATAGTACCTTGGCGCACCCTGGGAAGACCGTCCCCCCTCCCCCCGAGGGGAGCTCGGCATCCCAGGATGACTTAATGGTTTGTTTTAGCAGCTTCTCGTTAGTATTATGGCACGTTTCGGGAGTCGAGGCGGCGGGCACGGCAGTGGCGACGTGTCCTGAGAATCCTGATGGGACACTCCAGTGAGAGGCGACGTTTCCAAGGAGTCGTTACGCTCCTCCGCGCGGTCGACGCCGCTCTTGCTCGCTTTCTTTCTCTATCTCTTTCTCTTTCTCTCTTTCTTGGACAAGACTGCGCTCCTCGCGGCCGCGGAGGGAGCCGGAAAACGCTCCCTCGTTATGCGACAGTGCTACCTTCGTGCGCGTCGCCTATGCGAGAGCGCCGTCGACTACGCGCCGCCACCACCACGGGGAGAGTCCGCTTGGTAGATCCCTCGTTCAGGACCGGTGTAGTTAGGAACAAGGACGCGGAGTCGGGCAGACTCATCGCGGGAGACGACCGCCGCCACTGCGAGATCCTACCGCCTCGCGCCGTGCAACGGTTTTGCTATACACGTACGTATTCTCACTCTCCCTTCGTCGGGACGCGGATGCAGCCGGCGGTCGGCGGTCGATCGGGAAGGTTTCTCACCCTCTCCCGATCGCTCGCCCGGATCCGGCTGGTCCGGCCAGTGTCGGTTCTATCCGCGCGGGAAGACACCGAAGTACCACACTGTTACTCTCGAAGTCTGTCCGTTTTATGTTTTCTTACTGCTGAGACGATGAGCGAAATTCTAGTGACCGCACTTGGGCGCTCGGGCGAGTCACGCCGGTGGCGACGACGACGACGTCGTCGTCGTCGGCCTTGTGCGCGTGATCGCTCTTACGCATTTTCGGAATTACCGATCATTTCGTCGGCTTTCCTCTTGACGCCACGGTCCTCAGACTGCTGCGGCTGTTGCTGCGGCTGCTGATGACCGATGGAAGACGGGCCCTGCTGCTGCTGCTGTTGCTGCGGCTGTTGCTGATCGTGCAACGGTGTCGAACGCTCCGTCGACGGTTGCGACGACTGCTGGTTGATGCGTTCGCTCGGCAGGGTCGTCTGATCCGGCGCCCAAGGGGTCCACTCGTCTCAGTAGTAACTGAACTTTCATGGTTGCTGATTGCTCTGCTGGTTGACGACGTGCTGGAGAGTGAAGCTCAGGGCGCGCGGGTCACCGTGCAGCCTGAGGGCCTGCTCTAATCGCTGCTCCTGCAGCCGTAGCGCTTCTCCTGAAAGGTGTCGAGCGTGGACGCCCGTTAGAAGCTTCTCTCACGGATGCGAAGCTCTCACGATTCGAAAGCTTCATCGTCGCGTTGTATTCTGTCTTGGGTATTTTACGGGACGCGCGCGCGCTGTAGCGAAATGTGAAGCGCGGCGCGCCTCGTCGTGTCCATGTACTTACCGAGATCCGGCGATAGGGTGTCCTGTTGGGACATTTGTTGATTCGTATGGTGTCCCGGCATGCCGGAGGTGCTACCTCCGTTGTGCTGTCCCAGATGATGCCTCACATCGCCGCCCACCGCGGAACTCGCCGCGGCTGCCGCCGCTTGAGACACCTGCGCGCAAAAATTGAGAAGGGGTTGAAAGAGAGAAAGAGAGAGAGAGAGAGAGAGGTAGACAAGATGGGAACAGGGATTAGGATTATATGCACCCTTTGACCCGCTTTGTCTCTTCGTGAAACAACGATGCTCGCGCGTCTCTTTTTCCCCTTATAAAAAGTGTTTGAATATGTTGTATAGTGTTTTACGAGCGCGATCGAAGAGAGCGTCGCACGCGGTGTTGTTTGTCCCTTGTTTCCTTACCGCGAGTCTAAGGGCGGCTTCGGCCTGAGAACGGAGCAGAGCTTCCGCCTGATGCATCCTCAGAGCCTGCTCCGGTCCGCTCGCCTGCACTCCTTGCTGTTGGGGTCCCGTCGAACCTTGAGTACCGCCGCTCATGTCACCGTTATTGCCCATCCTCATAGCTGCCGCAAGCGACGCCATGTCGACCGGCGAAAGATTAGGCGACACAGAATTTTGTAGTCCTAACAGAAATATCGCTTTTGACATCTCACCTCGTGAATGTTGAAGGGAGTTGAATCGAAGACGAAAATAGAGATTAGAGAGATCTCTTTTGCTCTCTCTCTCTCTCTCTCTCTCTCTCTATATATATATATATATATATATATATATATATATATATATATATATATATAGCGAGCCATATATGATAACAAACAAATTCACTATGTGTCTTTGCGTTTTCGCATAGTTTTAAAGCGTAAACCTATTTCAAATGTTACAGAATCCTGAACCATCACCGTTCCCACGGAACACACATTCGGGAAAACCGCTTGCAACGTGTGCTGCGCCAACTTTGGTGATGGCGAACGAGAGAAGCGACATCAAGGTAAGAAATTCCGATATTTGTTTTTCCTATCGACGTTTCTTCGGCAAGTTTCTCGACGAGTTACGAGCCGCAGCGGACCGCTACGAAAGAGGCTGATCGCGTATCAGCGATAAATCGCGCCAAGTTAATCCGAGATAACGTTCCGCGGGGTATCGATAATCTTCCATCGCGCGCGCGTTTCCACGCGCGCGCGGGGATGCTGTCATTTCCCTCGGCGACGAGAGCGCGGCGGAGAGTGTTTCCGCGCGTCAATCATTAGCGCGAGTTCCCGCGGTGGTATGTGGTGTGGTATAGGAGAAAGGCAGGCGCGAATGCAACATCGTCGGTGCAGCAACAACATTGTAAATCAAGTTTTATCGGTAATAATTAGAACGGAGCTATCGGCTTTCCCCTCTCGTGCAATTTAGCGTTGATACGCGATAAACGCGGTCCTTGGAGCGGCGCGCAATCGACCGACCGATTCGCTAGATCGCACGCGACTAGCCCGCGCACTTTATTATTGATCGTTCCGCTCGCGCGTTTGCGATTTGTCTACTCTCTTACCCGCTGACACCGCCGCGGCCATGACAGCCATACGTTGCTGCTGCGACTGCATCTCGTCGTGGTACTGCTGCGCCGAGCCCGGTTGACTTCCCGCCCGCAGCATCTCGCTGAGCTTGTTGCCGCTCGGTCCCGGCGACGCCATGTTGTTGTTGTTGTTGTTGTTGTTATTGTTCAGTAGACCGGTGCCTGCGCAAAAATCTGCTCTCGTCAGTATGTACAGGGTGGCGGGCGGAAGGGTTGTTTTGCGCACGTTTTTCTCTATTCAATCTGCTTTTCTTTTCTTTTTTTAATTACTAGCCTAACTGTGAGGTAGCGTTATCGTTCCGCGGCGTTGGCGTACGTGAAAGCGCTGAAGCGCTTTAAAGAAGGGCGCCGCCCCCGAAGTGGAGGCCGCCCATTGTGTAGAGAGACCGTGTGCGAGCGCCGTTCACATGAGAGAATTACTCAGACCAGAAATTCGTATATTTTTTATTTCTGACTCAAACATATGTATATGCATATATGTAACTTACGTGTACTACAATAAGTTCACTAATGGTACTTCACAACAGAGTTTTTATCATTATTAAAACGAAACCAGAGAAAAAAAGGTGAATAACGGCGAGGCTTACAAACAACTGGTGCTCGTGACTTGCGACATTATATATACACGTATATCTAGATACTTCGTTTGTAGACATTCGTTTGTAAGTAGACGTAGAACAAGATCGGAGCGTACCAGGTTCACTACCGGCCGACGAGAGTCTTCCGTTGCCGCTACTGCTGTCCGAATGGGCAGACGGTGACGGGCACATAGGCGGTTGTTGCAAATTTTGCGGTCCTCCGGATTGACTTCCCAACACACCCAAGCCCGCTCCTGTACAGCGCAAGGAGTAGCGTTAGGTTAGGGCGCGTTTCGACGGGCTACGACGGGCTACGTCGGTACAGAGAGTGTGTCCGCGTGCATCTCGCTGGCGTGACGTCGCGCCGCCGCGAATTTCGCCACGCCGTCGCGATGCATTAACGTTTAACGTAGAGACAAGTAGAAAAGTATGTACATAATAGGAACTGCCGTCTCCCTATCTACTCTCTGTCTTTATACCTAAACTCGAACTCGCGAGGATCTCCCTTTCTCGCCTTTCGGCGGCCGCGCGGCTCAGCACATACTGCGCCGCGAACTGATGCTTCGGATCCATCCTCATGTGCTCCATGTGGCTCAGGAGACCTTAACACCAGAAAGAAAGAAACGTGCGTGTGGTCACAGTACTGGAAGATTAGGTATATATAGCTCTCTCATATCGCCGCGACAATGTTAAACGCACGACGGTAAACGATACGGTCACTCCGTGATAAAACGGTACATGTACGCGTGTATTTGCTCACAAAAACGGGAAACGAAAGGGTTTCGCGGGCAACAACCGAACCGAAACAACTCGGGTGAGACTCGAGACCACCCGGTTTTACGTGACAAAAATACTTACCGCTCTCGTGAGTGAAGACGGCTTGGCACACCGAGCACGGCCACATCCTGAGGCTCGTGCTAAGTTGACTGGTCTCAGGATGGCAGGCCAGATGCTTCCTAAGGCTACCCTCGTTGACGTAGTGCTTCCCGCACACTGGGCACGGGTGGTTGGCGGTCCGTCGCTTCGCTAGGTAAACCCCGGCAACGGAGGTTGTGCAGTCAGCGGAGGGAACAATAGGGCGACACAATTTCAAGGTCAATGCCAAGCAGGATAAAGCGTCCCAAGGAACGAAAGCCGCCTCCTCTCCTTCACCCATCTCTCCTCCACCGTGTCATGTGTTTCTTCGCATCTCTCTCATTCTCTCTCACTCTCTCTCTCTCTCTCTCTCTCTCTCTCTCTCTCTTTCTTTCTCTCATACATACTCTCTCTTTTCCTCCCCCACTTTATTTCTCACGCACTCGCGTGCACGCGCGCGTACGTACGTACGTACAGATTCCGGTCGACCTCGAAGGCGAAGGGAGACCTTACGGGCGCGGATAGCCAAGGACCAGGAGAGCACTGACCTCGGGCACGCAGAGTGCCGGCCGGCGCCGCCGCCACCGCGTTGCTGGCTCCCTTTCACGAGCAAGGTCGCCGGCCCAAAAACCAGGATGCATACGCACGGTACTCACGCGCGTTGCACACGGACGACGCGGACGCACAGAGAAAGGAACGGAGATTTCGTGCACCATCCCCTTGACAAAAGCTCCCCTCGTTCCGATTGACATACATACCCGTTCTCTCTTTCTCTCTCTCTTTCTTTCGTGGTCGTGACAGACGATGATTATTCGGCGTGTAACGCGTTCGAGACGTCTGTGCGAGAGGTCGCGTCTCGTGAACCTTGGTGAATTCTTCGCGTCACCCCGATCTCGAAGTCTCTCTCGCGCGCTATAAATAATTCGATAAAATGCCGGCGCGTCGCATTCTCCGCGCGAGCGCGCAACCGAATGTGCAACCGTTGACGCCTCAGTACTATTTCAATGCCGAGCGTGTCGACAAGCGTGTGGTAGACCTCCGCCATCATCGCGGCGCCGCTGCCACAATCGGCAGCGATGCGCCGCCGATCGCTGGTCGAACGTTGCGCGCGATCGATGGTAGAGATGGAACGTATCGAAGGTAGAGAGAGACAAGCTGGGCCGATCGGGGTTGGACTTTTGTTCTCCGTACGTCCGCGCATTAGCACACGTATCACGCACGCATATGTATCACAAGGCACGCATAGAGGTCAGAACGAGACACCCTCGAAGCACCGTGTACATGTATCAGCGAGTAGGTACCCAAGTATTAGTCGGCGAGTGTGCCAAATGCTACACGCCTTTCCCGCCCAGGCGAAAACCGTATGAAGTAGTGAACAGGACAATGTGTGCGTATCGCCCGCGCCAAAGCAAGTTCATGGGATGGATGTAAGACGTACTTAAAGGCTAAAGAACGTAACGAATCATCCCTCGTGTCTCGACGAGCGGTTACACCACACCTCTTTCTCAGCCTTACTCACGATTAACGTCGTCCCTCTCACGTCCGTGTCTATCTTCCCCTATCTCTTTCCCTCTCTCTCTCTCTCTCTCTCTCTCTCTCTTTCTCTCTCTCTCTCTCTCTCTCTCTTTCTCTCTCTGTCGGGAGCTCACAAGAGGTTATTCGCGATCCCAGTTAAGGGTTTTGGTTAAATGCGGTTAAGGTGAACAGAGAGTTGGCGCGAAAAGTTACGTTCGGTGTTAGTCGCTGATTAGTCGTAAGAGAGACGAGAGACACGGTCAAGGTTTCGTTCTCAAGCCCCGCGCTTCATGCAACGATGCACTCCGCCCGCGAGATCCGGCCAGATTCCGGTTAATCGATCGGCTACGGTTAAGGAAGATTAGTAGTTGCGCGCGCGAGCGAGCGGAGCGGAGAGAAGCGAAGATGCGATGTGACGAGAGGCTGTGTTACACGCCGAGGTAGAGAGACACGGACGACCGGTCGAGGGCGGCCGGGTTGCGCGATTTTTCAATACTTACTGGCAACTCCGGAGGCGTTCGGGTCCTTGTGGGTGTGCTTCATGTGCTCCATCAGCGCCTCGCCGCCGAGGAAGAGCTTGTGGCATACTGGACAGCTGGTTGCGTTCGGGCCGCCGATCAGGGCGGCGTGTTGCTGGAACACAACACGCTGTTGCAACTCCTTTTTTGGGGGGCCGGAAGAAGAAGTACCGGAAGCAGGCACACGCGGCGCACCGGTAGAGAGCCGACCCAGAGAATACCACCACAGAGTTGCGAACCAGAAGCGCAGGACAGGCAGGGCACAGAACAGAACGATTTACCAGTGAGAGTTAAGGCACCAATATACCGCCGCCACCACAGACTATTTCCTTTTTGCACAGGGAATTCATGTCGAGTGTCTGGTAGGAACCTTGTGGTATTGCCGCGTTAGCTGGGTTTCCAGTCGGTCAAGTGCAGTGTGCGGTCGAAAAGAATCGAGATCACCGGAATTCGGGGGAGAGAAATTTGCCTTGCTCGCGTGTTAAAAAGTCTTTCTTCCCTTACTAGTGATCCGCCTTCTGGTCGCGCGATTTCGTCTTCACCGAACGAAACAAATTCGACTCTTGTGCTCGATCGGATAATTTTCACGTTGTTTTTCATGCAACTCGATTGAACTTGATCTTGAAATCAGCATACTGTATATATATATATATATATATATATATATAT